GAATACAAGCATAACCTCTGTCCTAACTCCCACGGCCACTCTGCTCAAAGGTCCACTGATCGAGCAGTGAGATGGCTAGACAAAGACACTAGTATCTTCTTTGCAGTGGATGTTTTTAGTGTGTATTCAGATAGGATATAACTGTTTTACAGTTTGTACTCGTTCAGAGAATCCCATCCATATATACTTTTTTGGGTTTTTTTTTTTTTTTTTTTTTTTGAGGCAGGACTTCATTATGAAGTCCTGGCTGACCTGAAGCTTACTATGTAGGCTAGATTGACCTCAAAATCACAGAGATACACCTGCCACTGCCTCCTGGTGCTGAGATTAAAGGTATGTGCTAAAGGCAGGCATTGCCTCTGTTTTTAAAGAACATTTTAAAAAATTTTACGTGTATGAGTGTATGTTGAATGTACCATGCATGTGCAATGCACACAGAGTCCAAAAGAGGGCATCAGATCCCCTGGAACTAGAGTTATGGATGGTTGTTAGCCATTATGTGGGTGCTGGGAACCAAACCTGGGTCCTCTGCAAGAACAGCCAATGCTCTTAACACTTTCCTGCCTCCATACACCTCTTTCACAGACTTCCTTGCCATCTGTTTTTCAGTCATCCTATTTCATTCCTTCCAAATCCTTGGCCTTCTAGAAAATCCATCAGCAACTGGTCAGCCTGTCCCAGTTATCTGTCACTCTTTTTGAAACAAGATCTTGCTATGTTACCCAGCTTGGACTTGAATTCACGATTCAAGTGGTCCCCCTGCCTCAGGTTCTGCTAGGATAGCAGATGGATGCCATCATGTCAGCTTTCTCTCTCACTCTTGGCATGCTGGATAAAGTAAATACCCAATTTCAGTTACATTAATTTGAAACCTTCATCACTATCTTTCAGACCCCTGTATAGGCAAGCCACCTGTGCTATATAAGGTGGAGTCTAACAAGGCCTTCTGTGCTGTAGGAACCTATCAGGGAGAATACTGGACCCAATATGAAAACTTTCCTATTTCAGTGTCTCTCCAGCATTTTCTACTAATAGAACTGAACATTCTTATAACACATAAATGCTATTTGAAGGGTCTAGATCCATTTTCCCTAAGGAGGAATAAAGAATGAATTTATTATTGAGAGGCCATAAATCAACTAGAGCACATAGGTACTATCTAGTTGCTCCGGCTCAGGTGGAACACACACTTCTCAAGCAATTACTGTAGTTATTGCAGTCTCCATTTGAGCCTACATTAGATTGGGGCTAGGCAGTGAGTTGTAATTCCTCAAAATAAGGGGGAAGGAAACTCTTCCCAATACAAGAGTCCTAAACTAGTAAAAATATCTTCCTGGGCCAGCAAGATGGCTCAGTGTGTAAAGGTCCTTGCTGCCAAGCCTGACAACCTGAGTTTTATCTTCAGGATGCACCCACATGGTAGAAGAAGAGAACCAATTCATGAAAACTGCCCTCTGACCTCCACACGTTGTGGCACATGCAAGGGCCCACACAAATATACACACACTAAATAAAGTGTAAAAAAATTACACTGCACTGTATTGCATGCAATACACACACACGCACGCACGCACGCACACACGCACACACTCACCAATGTATAGTTCGACCTAATGTCAATCTATCCCATACACCACCACAAATCTATGTAATATAGCCTCAAAAGTAGAAAACTCAAAGTCATAACCAGCTACTAAATTCAGAAACTTTGCTACTGTCAATCTTGATCTGGTAGAGTTGGGGCTAAATGATGAATTTATCCCCAGAATAAAACTAGATTACACAGAAAAGGGGACTGGGGGAGCACAAGGAAAAGCAGCGAAGAAGAGCAACAAGAGCAAGGACCGCACTTCTCCAGAGAAAAGCAAAGTCAGCCAAAGTTCCAGGATTCCCCTTGTATCAAAGACTCTGCCTCAAGGTACAGTAAGAAGACATCTCCCCAGATGGTCTTGGCAGCCTAACTCACCTTTCTACCAGGTTTAGAGCCTGGGGACATTGCCTCTGAAAACACACAATCACAGATACTTTTTGCCCTATTGAGAACTTACTGTCAATTTCTTAGAACTCTCCTTGGAAAAAAAAAATTAAAAATGTTTAATTAAAAAAAATAGAACTCTCCTTAGCTGTTAGTTAATGTCATTTAAGGAAATCCATCAGCTTATTATCATAAACCTCACCGAAACAGGGGCTCTGAGTATGGACCTTGCCCTTCCTGATTCTGTTACTCTTGGAAACTAGCCTAGCAGCTCTGTCGATCTCTAGAGCTCTTAGTTCTATGATTCTTGTCATGGATTCTGTTTGGGAATAAGAGGAAATGATAGGCTGCCATCATGGAAGTAGTTTAGACCATCAGACTCTGTCTCCTAAGATGGTCACTACTCTGGAATAATGGGAAGAATTATCTTTATGGTAAGGGAACATATCAGAAAAGTTTGAAGAGGAATCATGAGAAATGAGACAGCTCTGACCCCAACTTCTCCCTGGTCTCCACATTCATACTTAATGTATTAACTTGATGTGAGCAAAATGTTTAGTTATTCCAGTTGGCAGAGTAGATATTATCTGCTCCTAACCAGTATAGGATACCTACCCCATACAGTGTGGTATACTTTTCATCCTATTGACTGTCTCTTTCAGAAAGGCCATGCAGAACTACATGGCTGGTAGGCCAAAGGGAGGCCAAACAGCCAGCATATTCCAATATCCTAACTCTCTAAAACCTCAGTTTTCTAAAGCCAGAGACTGACTGAGCACAGGAAATAAATCAACTGTTGTCTAAAACTGTTTTGAAGGATAAACATTATTGTAGGTTTTTTTTTTAGTTACTAACCTACCGTCTACAATGTTTTCATAAATACAAAATTGTATCAGTCAAACATTTCAAAATGCCCTTTCTATTTCTATACCATCTCATTGCTGGTGGGGATGGCTTATAGAGCGATTTTTAGCCCATGCATTTGCTACTTCACTCATTGCTGTGACGAAATACCTGACAGAAGTAACCTAAGGAAGGAGGGGTTTATTTTGCTCACAGTTTGAGGGAATGGTCTGTCATGGTGGGAAGGCATACTGGCAGGTGCATGAGGCAGCTGGCCACGTTGCACAGCTGCTTTCTCCTTTTTAGTCAGTCCAGGTCCCTAACTCATAGAATGGTGTTACCTGTATTTAGGGTGGCTCTTCCTGTCTCAATTAACCCAATCCAGAAAGTACCTCACAGACACTCCTATCTCCTAGGTGAGTCTAGAGCCAGTCAAGCTGACAATATTAACCATCACAGTCAGTGTTAGGTTTGCAGTAGCACTGATCTGACCAATGTAATCTGTTTTTTCTAGCCTAGGATAAATGGGAATCTCACGTCCTCACCACTCCTTGGCTAAGCCAGGTCTACCTTTGAGGGTTAAGGCAATTGCAGTCTTCCCTTTCAGATACCGTTTTTGTATTGATCAAGAACTTTGGTTTACAACAGACCATAATGCAACTTTACAGCACAGTCTTCTAATTGGCACCTTACTTCTCATCTTACTTCACTAGAAGTGACTTGGCCAGAACACTATCAGATAATTGGATGTACAGAAGCATTGAGACAATTATGGAAAATGGTTGTATTAGTTAACTTTCTGTCACTATAACTGAAACATCTTGGAGAACAACTTCAGGAGAGGAAAGATTTATTTAGTCTCATGGTTTCAAAAGCATCATTCCATCATGACCTGAAGGCATGGTGAAACACGACAGTTTACATCATATCCCATGAGGACCCTCCCCCACAACAGTGACCTACTTCCTCCAACCATGCCTCCCTCACCTCCTATCTTTATTACCTCCCAATAGTGCCAGCATACTACGAATCTATCAGATCAATCTGTCTCTGGAAACACTATCACAGATATAGGCAGAATCTTCTAGGTGCTTCTTACGCCCCCCCCCCCCCCCCCCCCTTTTTTTTTTTTAATGTCTTTTTGAGACAGGGTCTCCCTGTAGCCCCAGCTGTCCTGGAACTCACTGTGTAATCCAGGCTGCCCTCGAAATCACAAAGATCCGCCCACCTCTGCCTCCCAAGTGCTGGGATTAAAGGCATGCGCCACCATGCCCAGCTAACCCGATTAAGTTTATATTAAAAATCAAGAATCACAGCAAATGCTGCTTTGGGGAAAAATATATCCAGCTCTAGAAAGAGGCTAATCGTTGGCTGCCCACGACAAAAGGAAATCCAAAGAAACAGATATGCTGGATTGCAGGTATCCTGCAAGTCCCTTCAAGAGTCTCGTAACTCCTTAAAATGTCACCCTTGTAAAATTGCCTTGTCGGCCGTGGCAGTAGCCACTGGAAATAGCGTTTCTCCCTCCATTTTCTTGGTAAATCATAGCATGTTATTTTCCATCTTAAAAGCTCACTTCCCCTAGCATTTGGAAGAAAAATCCAAATGTTGTCTGCAAGGTACAGATGGTTCCAGCTCTTAATTCCTCTCCAACTCTATCTCGTGTCACTCTTTCCTAGGTGTGTTTCCAATGCCCTATTCACAACAAAAGCCCAGCACAGCCAGGTCTCAAGTCTTTTCCTTTCCTTCCTTCTAAATCGCATCCCTTTTCCGGATCTGAAATCAGTTACCCCAGACACCACTTTCTAACCCAGCTCCTCGTTCATTTTCACAAGGTCCAATTATAAAGTAGCCCTCAAAAAATAAATTAGTATGGGAACTGAAACCCATTACTGCTGTGCGGGGCTTTTAAATGCTCGTGTTCTGTGTGTTTTAACACTATAGTGGGAAGCAAAAAATAAACAGGCCCCTTGGCTAATCCGCAAACGTCAAAGAGACTGTGTATACCCCAAGCCGTCGGAATTCGGCCCAAGTCTTGTCTTTCAAACAGCCAGGGCCGTTTTCTTTTTCACACTGGAGTGACCGTAGTCTGGGGTTAGTCCGCTAACCCTCGGGGAGCGGCTTTGGCTAATGACACCGAGGCCGCCCATTGGCCTCCGCCGGGTCAGAGGGTACCGGCCGGTGCGGGGCGCTGCGACCGGCACTCGGGGGCCGTTAGAAGCTCGCTCCACCAGCCGAGCCGCTGACGCCCCCCCCCCCTCAAGGGTCGCGAGGCGCGGCCGTTCAAACCCGCGACTAGCGTCCCGGGTTTCCGGGTCTTCTGGATTCTCTGCGCTCAGCGAGCCCGCCCCGCCAGCTCCGCCGCGGCCGTCCTCTCCCGGCTCCGGGATCGCTTAGCTCCCGAAGTGCCGGGACAGGAAGCCGCAGCGCCGAGCCCGCGCCAGGCGACCAGTACCCTCGGGCCAGGACTAGGACTCGGATTTCTGCCCCAGGGCTCCATCGCCACGTTGGAAAAGGCCAAGTAGGACTTTGTTTTTTTTAAGACTCGAGTCTCGTATGGGCGTTATGATCTTTACCGAGTAGTAGCTGAGATTCTTCGGTAGACATTGAACGGATGAATGAAAAGTTCTAAGGGCTGATTAAGAAAACATGAAAGTTCTTTGGGAGGATGCCGTTAAACAGAAATCAACTGAAAACACACATGGGATACTCAAGTTTTCAAAACCTTTTCAAGGGACTCTTGAAAAGTGCAACCCAGCGCTCTCTAGCGCCCCCTAGGCACATCCGCCTCGCCCAGCCAGAAAGGAGCAGGGCTCGGCCTCCGGGACCAGAAAAGAGGAAGGGGGACCAGGGGCGGGGGCGGGGGCGAGGAAGCGGAGCAGTGAGAGCCGGAAGTGGGTGGCTAGCGCGGAGCCCTGGGGCGCCCGGGTCCGGCGGCCCTCTAGCCGTCGCGCGCCATCTCTATGATCCCCGCGTCTAGTCTATTTATTGTCGCCGGGAAGCCACGGCTGCCTTGTACCCGGAACAACAAAGCACGAAATACGGAGCCCGAGCCTCGGGGGCTCCTAGCAACGGGCCGGGGCGGGAGTTCCATGGAGACTGGAGAGCGGGCCCGCCTCATCTTCATCCTTGTCCTCCAGCTTCTGCTCCGCATCCAACGCAACCGGCAGCAGCGCTGCCGCCGCGTCCTCTGCGACCGCCCGGTCTTCCCACGGTAACCCTGCTGGCCGTCCTGGGCCGGGGAGGCGCGGCCCGAAAGCGAGCTCCCGGCGTCTGCGCGCCGACCGGGGCCGGGGGGAAGCTGGCCGGCTGCTGGGGGCTGTGCGGGGGCGGGGACCAGAGGAGGGGACCCTGGTGCGGGCCACCATCCCGGGGACCCAGGGCGGCCAGACTTCATTGGAGGACGTGAATAGGCTGTTAGGACATCCCATTAGGGATAACGGGGTGGGGGTGGGGCGCCCCTGCCTCTCCGGAAAGACCCTGCAGGGACGTTCCCCATCTGTGTGAAGCCCTCCCCTGGGGGAAAAAGGGACGGTACAAAGATGCATGGGGTCCGTGGCTTTACCGAAAACTTGGAGCGGCCCTCTGCAGCGGCGGGAAGGCTCCCCAAATAGCGGCTCGGCTCGGTTGGCTCCTGCTTCTGGCAGTTGCCTGGAGGTCTGCTATAGAATAATAACATTCATAGCAGAATTACACTTGATAAAGGAGGATCTGGAACTGAGGAAGAGAAAATGAATTGTGGATAGGGCTAAACAGAGATGAGAGTCGAGGATAATCGCTTCATAATCTCCAGTTCTGGTCCTAGAGGTAAATATAATAGGGAATGACTGAAATGGATAAAGCTCCTTTAGCCGAAATGTGCATCTGCAGGCTCTGCGAGTGTGCACGTTGCAGTAACTGCAGCCAGTGCACATCTGTGAACTCTGACTGCATCTGCACCTGCAGTTCCAGAGCGACACTGGCAGTGCCTAGTGTGAACTTGTGTTTTTAAGGTTAAGAGTGTCTTAACATTGTGACTTGTGTGTGAAGAAGCCATTGCAGATTCTCTGGGGTAATTGAAAAAGAGAATTATGAAGAGGGCATTCAGTCTGCAGGCCATAATTTGCAGCCTCTTTTGAAGTTTGAAAAATGGCAGTTCTTTCATATCAAGAAGTGACTTAGCACGGTCTGACTGAAAGAATTATTCATGGTTTGGATATATTCAGTTAAATACTCGTGAGTTTATGCTCTTCAGTCTTGCATCACAAGCTATTTGTTTTTGTACTCTTCCAAGCCATATTAGGTTGGGTGTAGTGGCACATGTGATCCCAGCATTTGGGAACCTGAGACAGGAGGATCTCAGTTCAGGGCCTGCCTGAGCTACATGATAGTTCCAGGTCAGCCTGAGCTATATGCCAAGGCCTTGCCTCAGAAAACAAAATAGAATTTTCTGTCAGTACTGAAGTTTTTCTGTAGCGTTACTAAAAAGGTCACATTCTGCAGTAAAACTTTTTTTTTTTTTTTTTTTTTTGTGGTCCTAGGAACAAAATTTCATGTAGTTGAAGATTAGTGATGAAAATAGCCTACGTCAGCCTGGTGTGGTGGTGCACGCCTTTAATCCCAGCACTTGGGAGGCAGAGGCAGGCGGATCTCTGTGACTTCCAGGCCAGTTGGGGCTACAGGGAGACCCTGTCTCAAAAAGAACAAAATACTGAAATAACAGCCATCATAAAGGCAGTTTGTCCTTTGCTAAGCCTAGCTTCTAATAAGCAAAAAGGTGTCATTATTTCTGGTCCCCTCATATACTTGTGTTCCCAAAATGAGTATGAGAAACTGTAAGATCTGCTGTGTGCTTTCCTGAATGAAAGCTAGCCAGAATATACTCTTTGAATATTTTCATTTTAAGCTTTTAATCAGGAATTTTGTATCCAGTGTTTCTTTTTAGTACCTTCAGGTTTACAAGGAGATGAAACAGTTTTCTTTAAAAATAATGGGAAGTGTGAACAAGGAGAAACATTACATTTTAAGACATAAAAAACTCAAAAGTTAGGATTTTTAGAACTAATTTTTAGGCTTTTGCTTTCTGTTTCACATGGCTGTTTTGTAGAAACTGTTCCAGGGTCATCCTACTTGAGGTTGTGGATGCTGAGCCCTGGGATTTATTCATAGTGGTCTGATAAGGAACTCCCTCCACCTCAGAGCCACCCTCAGACTGGCTTCACCTAGACTTTGTTTGCTGAGGCTTCTATCCCCTTGGGCCTTCGAATGCAGGTTTAATTTAAGTCTTGCTTCTTTATTAATGTAGTTCTGCTTTTCTTGATGTCTTTCCCCATCAACCAGGGTTTACAGTTTTTAGTCATTCATGTGTCCCAGTCCAAAATGACTATTTATGCTATTTGTATTTTTCTGTTTCTTAAGGAGTTTGCAGCATATGTCCTGTATATTTTCCGTTCGTGGTGCTTTGTTGCATTTTCTTGAATTCTTTGAATGGGCATGTCAGATGTTCTGTATTCATTCTGAGTAACTGTCAGTTGTCAATTCAGGAGGGAAGGGCCACATTGAGAAGATTGTGTTGAGATAAAGTGTGTGAAAATATTTAAACACTTCTCCATAAAGGATGTTTTTGAAGTCCACGTAAAAATACTGTCATCATAGAATTTTAAAGGATATAGAGTATTATAGACTGCTATGTTTTAAATTGAACTTTAGATTTTTATAAGTCTTATTCTAAAACTACTCTTAATACCATCTTTTCTGGTCATTTTACATCTGAATATTTCACTAAAACTACATCTTGCAGTTTTTAGGGAAGTATTTAAGTGATTTCCACTTTTTTCTTTCTTCAGGCAGGAAATTGTCCCATGAAAAATTTTGAGACTATATCCATATGTAGAATGTGCAGATTCGTGGAACATAACTGAGTATTTTGAAACGTCATTTTTTTATCAGAGATGTGGCATGTTATTTAAGAATTAGCAAATAATGTACAGTGTAGTTGAGTGGGGTCAGGACTTTTTAAACTAAGGAGACCAGTGACAACCTGGTGATTGATTTCCTTCTGTTGCATCATAGACCATGTGATGAAATTACTGCTATGAAAAGTAAAGTTTAAATTGACTTGGGGAAGAATTTATAATAGAACATTTCCACAGTGTCTCTAATCAAACTTGTCTTGAAATTTTTAGCTATATTGTGACACTCGAACTAATGAAGATTTCCTGCAATTTATACCCATTTTTTTATGCCTTTTGTGTGACTGCTGCCACTTCAAGTGTGCTTTTTGTGTACGTGTAGATAGAAGAGAAATGACAAATGGGTAACAATGCGACTGATATAAAAGGAAATTTTTAGGGGTCTGGAGAGATGGCTCAGCAGTTGAGAGCACTGGCTGTTCTTGCAGAATCCCCGGATTCAAATCCCAGGACCCACATGGTGGCTAACAACCATTGGTAACTACACTTCCAGGGAATCTGACACCCTCTTCTGTCCTTGATGTGCACTGCACTTACACGCATGCAGGTATAACACTCATACACATTAAATAAATAATTTTTAAAATTAAATTGAATTTTAGATATTGCATAGCATACTGACTGGCACTATAATCACCGGTGTGTGGATGTCTTCGTGCCTGTTTAAACAGAAGTTTCTAGCAGGTCAGGACTGTGCATCACATCATATTGTATATTCACATCCTCTACTGTGTATTTTGAAAATTGACTACGTGGAGGTGCATGTTTGTTTTTATTTCACTTTATCTACTGGATGAAGTTGAACCTTTTTTGCAGTGCTGGGGATGGAACCCAGAGGAGAACCTTTTTGACATGTAATTTTTGTTGACTAACATGCCAACTTTCTATCCTCTCTATAAGGTTCAACTTACAAGCATCCAGAATTTCTACACTGACATGATTAGGGCTTTGTTTAGGCGCATTTAAGCACTAAAAGAAGTGGCTGGCTGCCATAACTTGAGTAGTGGATCTAGGGATTGTTGCATCTCATGAGTATCACTTTGGAAGACTTCAAGAGGGTGTATGTGTATGTGCAGGTGTGAGGTCTTTCTAGGACACAGATGCATTTGATTTTTGTATTATGATGAATTCTATCTTTTCTTTAGAAGAGGTGCAGTGTGTGTTTGTGAAAAAGCAAGATTTCAGAAGTGTGTCATTAGTGAGAAGGAATCAGGTCACCTTAGAAATACTACTCATCTCATCGGGTCTTTCTTGTGACTTAATGGTGAGATAACAATTTGTCTTACATGGCTTGGTTTGTGCTAGGAAGCATGTTAATCAAAGGTCTTACTGAATATTTAAAAATCCCATCAGGGTGCTTCGCGAGGTGGTGCACACCTTTAATCCCAGCACTGGGAAGCAGAGACAGGCAGACTCTGTAAATTCAAGGCAGCCTGGTCTACATTGTGAGTTCCAGGCCAGCTGAGGCTACAGGGAGACCCTGTCTCAAAAAAAAAAAAATCACATCAGGATGATTTCTGGGACAATTTATATCTATCTTCACATGGGAGTCAGTGAAACTGTTGAAACT